AAGTTTAAGTTTATGGATTTAAAAGCAGGTTATAATGTTCTCTTACCCTATCTCAGGGGTGATGAATCTGGCTGGTGGATTCAATTTTGCCCAACTAAGATTCTTACTGGCAGATCAATCCCAACAACCCGCAACCACCTGCCTCACAGGCACAAAGACACAATCAGGAGTTTAAAGTGAGTTCCCAGTTTTTTCCTTGCTGAAGGAAGGTTTCCCTGGAGCAATGTTCTCTTTTATTCCAGCGAATACTTTTGAATATCTGATAATAACCTGCTGCAGGAAAGGACTGCAAGAAAGATAATGGGAGAGCTGTTTCTGGGATCATGTGAAACATTGCGTTCCCTTCTTAAGTTTCCTGTTGCCAGGAAGTGTAATGTTGATCATGGAAATTTTGTTGCATTTATAGTACTCTGATGGGTGGTTGTTTTTTTTGGGGGGGGGTATATTTTATATTTGCTATTGCATTGTTTTGTTTGGGGGGGTATATTTTATATTTGCTATTACATTGTTTTGTGATGGGAGGGGGATATGTTCCGTTACAGGGGTCAGCAAACTTTTTCAGCAGGGGGCCAGTCCACGGTCCCTCAGACCTTGGGGGGGGGCACAGACTATATTTCAGAAAAATAAATAAATGAACAAATTCCTATTCCTCACAAATAACCCAAAGATGCATTTTAAATAAAATGACACATTCTACTGATTTAAAAACACACTGATTCCCAGACTGTCCGCGGGCCAGATTTAGAAGGAAATTGGGCCAGATCCAGCCCCCGGGCATTAGTTTACCTACCCATGTTCTTTTACTATTGGTTTAAGCCACTTTCATTAGTTTGTGGGAGGGGGATTGGCATTCAAATAAGATGATGATTATGGGTAATGGGAGCCCACTTTGCTTATTAGGGGGAGGAAGCTTTCATTGAAACTGCAACAAATGCAGATGAGGGACTCCATTTTTGCAGGATAAATTTCTTCCACCTTCTATAGCAAGCCTGCTTGTAGATGTGCCTTTAAAGGACTCATTGCATTTTGGCATTCAGTGAGTGACAGGTTGGTGGCCCCAACCACCTTTGGCTCAAAAGGGATAGAGGGAAGAGCAATCAGGCTGACTACTGTGGAACAAGTTCTAATCTCTGCCCTAGCACTACATACCCAATTATAAAAATTAATTTTTATGGGTAAGAAAGAAATAGGGAAATGCAATGGACAGTGTGGGATGAATTACTTCAATTTTATTGAATGAATCACTTTCAAATGAATTACTTTTATTGTATTGACTTATTAATATATATTTCTTTCATGGGATCGAGTAATCTTATATCATTCTCTTCAGAAATGCTGAACCACATTTGCTTAAGTACCGGTAAATAAATTGATTGCCTAAGATTAAGGGACTGAGACTCCTAACTACTTTGTAGGATAATATGGAGGAGTATATACTCCCTACAATGTTGTGGCTCTTACTGGGATAATCTACAATGGTACTTCCATCACTAAACATTGATTTTGATGCATCAAAGGCAGTCTTTATATTTTTACCCTGAGCAGGGCAATATAGGTCACACAAATTTAAGAACAGAACAAATCAAATGTCTGCGTATGCCCACAAAACATATAGGTTTTCAGCAGGTATCCATTAGCTAAAGTGGTACCTCAGGTTAAGAACAGTTTCAGGTTAAGAACGAATTAAGTTCTTAACCCGAGGTACCACTGTAGTCCAGTTCTGTTGTTCTTTCTTGCTCCTTTATTCAAGCAGGCATCTGTATGCTGTGGTTGTCAACCTCTCCCCCATTCTCAGAAAGAAATCATAGTGCAATGTAATGAAGGGTCAGTCACCATGTTTAACTGTGTCCTGAGTTACATGGGCCTCCTGGCTGCCACCAATTTCATTGTGGCATTCCTTGCTCGCAAATTTCCCGACAGTTTTAACGAAGCCAAGTTCATTACATTCAGCATGTTGCTGTTTTGTGGTGTTTGGCTTTCTTTTCTTCCAGCCTATCTGAGCACCAAAAGGAAAGACATGGTGGCTGTGGAGATCTTCTCCACCTTGGCTTCCAGTGCTGAGTTATTGGGCTATATCTTTGTCCCTAAATGTTACATCATTATACTAAGGTCTGAACTGAACAACAGAGAGTAACTGATTAGAAGAAAAATTAGCGAATCTCTCTCTATGTTTTTGGTCTGTTTTATTTGAACATTAATTGTTTTAGGAGGAAATATGTTTTTAATTCATTTATTACAAACATTTGTTTAAAATTATCGACAGATGTTACGTTTCTCTATCAACTCCCCTCATCCCCTCTCATTACCTCACATCCAAACTAACTGACACCCATCCAGGTTGCCATGGTGGATTCTGGGCATTTAAATGAGCTATTCTGTACAGAGCTTCAGCATGTTGTGTTATGGGTAGCAGCCATAAAAAAGTCAAAGTTTTTTTTTACCGAAACACACCTTCCCCATCCACATGAGTAAATGACACAGTTCCAGGACATATTCCCATCATTAAGAAGAGCTCGAGGCAGAACTGCCTTGAAGCGGCATTAGGATGGCCACAGTCTAGAGAAAGTCTTAATGGAGAAGTAGAGAAGCCTGGGGAGACATATTGGGCCCTCTCAGGTTCCACATCTCTGAGCTAGCCTAAGGAATTCAAAAGCAGAGGGCAAACTATTAAACTACCTTAGGCTTTAAAGGTCAGCACCAACACTTGGAATTGTTGGGTTCCCAGAATTATTATTGGATGTGGTGTGCATTTTTTTAACATGGCTACAGGTAAAGGCAAATGTAAGTTGGGCCCTAAGGGCAAAGGAAAGGCACCTGCACCCTTGAGGAAGCATGCACAGTCAAACCCCACCTCCTCTGAAGTTGAAGAGCAAGACAGGAGGACTATATTGGTGTGCCTTTATAGAAATCAGCCCCTGCTGCAATTGCGACTCCCAAGTCATCATTATCAGTGCATGGCACGGTACAAACTGGAAATTGTGTTGAAGGTCTTGTCTCGGGCATGAACTTTGAGGCTCTGCAAGACCTTGGATATCACATCCTAGGCCCTTCCAGGCCTCAGAAACACCACTGTGTTTCTGTGACGTGACATCACGACGTCACAACATTATGGTGTCACATTACATCGCAGGTGCCATTGGTCACCCATAACCTGGGACCCAAGTTGCCTCCCCCCAGATGAAGGTATGAGTTTCACAGGAAGCACCAGCTATGGACATCACACAGGAGGTGGGCATGGCTGCTGATTTTCCTATGGCTCCAGCCTTTGGAGTAGCATTTTATATACTGTAGTTAATGGCTCCTTTGCTGTGTCTCTCTGTTGTTAGGATGTTTTTCAAAGTTAGTCCATGATCTGATGGTTGCTGTTTTTGCTACTGCATTGTTTATGAAAGCTTGTGGTTGGTGGTGGGTCAGCCAGGGAATTAGAGTGTTCCCCTAATTTGTCCTGTGTTTCTCATATTGATATGTGGTTGTCATTTTTGCCCTACTAAATCATACATTTTCCTGATCTTCTTCTTCTTCTTCTTCTTCTTCTTCTTCTTCTTCTTCTTCTTCTTCTTCTTCTTCTTCTTCTTCTTCTTCTTAGATTGGAGACATCCATTAAGAATAAAACACTGACATTTAAATCCCAAAAGGTTTGAGACAGAAATGCGCAATATTTTGATATGCTGATTTAATTCATCATAGAATTCTCCTCTGAAACTGTTAATTGATCAACTTCATTTGCAGTATGGTGACAAAATTCTACCAGCACAGACTTGCCTTGGCATTTGCTGTGAAAGAGATCAATGAGAACCACACAATCTTGCTGAATATCACTCTGGGTGAATATCACTCAATGATGTATTATGGCTATGATTATGATTAATCATTACCATGAATAATAACACCACCAACAGCTAGATATCCCTCCCATGCTCCACTTCATATTCTGCTTACGCAAAACATGACCTTGAACTCTGATAATGTCTCATGAAACTCTGATTGGGGAACAGAGCCATGGGAATGTGTGAGAGAGTATAAAGTAGACATGATACACTGTTAAGATTTAGATAAGGTGTTCTGTGCTCTTTTATTTCTGGTCCCACTAACCAATGGCATATAGCTTATTTAAGGTTAGCAAGAAGAGAATTCATTAGTCAGGCTGAAAATGAAAGCCCACCCCTCCAATATACCAATACCTTCTCCCAGTGCTTTTTTTCTAAAAAAAAATAATGTTTAGGGTACTCTCATTTTGACTCAAGAAAACCACCATTTTATAGTTCAAATTGGGAAAAATAAATACAGTAAATGGACAAAAGGCCACCATCGGGGGTAGCAATGTAACTGATGATTCACCATGCTAGAAAAATAAAATAAAAAATAGTTTCTTCTCCCGTTAGGTTCACAAAATGTATAGGGGTATGCGTACCACTGCATTCCCCCAGAAAAAAAGCAGTGGCTTCTGCTGTTTCTTGAAAATGAATCAGACCACCCATTTTAAAAATATAGCTTGATCTTATTGAGAAGTGCTGAGTCCCATTTCCTTGCAGAGAACTGGAGTTGAAAAGTGGTCTAAATCTCAAAATTTAGAACTGCTACTTTATATCCTGATGACAGTGTCTTCACTCAGAGTTTCCTGTTGTTCTTAGCACACCAAGGAAAAATCCTTCTGCCACTTTTTTCTTTCATCTAAGCAGCAGGATTGGGAGTAAAAAAGTGTTACTCAAACTCTAAAATCTGAATAAGCAAATAATATTCCTATTCTGCAATTACTCAAATCACTGCAATTTCTTCACCTGGTCAAATCCCCAGTTGGCTTCCTGAAGGGAAGAAAACAATCAACAAGCAAGCCTGAAAGTACTTAAAAATAAGCTCATATGTTATAGAGAGCTAGTGTAGAGGTGAGAGTCAGAAAGGGCTCTATCAGTTCAATTTAGGACGATATAATTTCTGTTACTTCTCAAGGAATGCATTTGCAACCTTTCAATTAAATGTATACCATAAGCTAGGCTGCCAGGATGGTGTTGCTATGGGTGTTACTGAATCTAATAACTCCTGTTGCTAATAGCTCTAATTCTATCCGCTGCCCTAGGAATAATCCTTTTCCTGTTCCACACGAGTGGTACCAGCCAGGTGAACTCATCATTGGGGGAGTTGTTTCTCAGAGCTATTACGTTTTCTATGAAGTTTTCTTTAAGGAACACCCATCAAAGAACCTGTTTGATGTTTCATAGTAAGACATTTTCATTGCCCCTTCGAATTGCCTTTCCCTTTGTCTCATGCTTTACAGACATGAATCCTAAAGAGAGGGATAATTTTATCACTGGCATTTTCAAGCTGCAATTGGAGCTACATTTTGCCTGGAAAAAATGTTATTTCAATTAAAAAAAATTAAAGCCTACCAGCTCTCAAAAAATGATTTGAATAAAAAGGTGTATTTACAATTGCTCTGCAGTATACTTATTGTGAGGAGTGGGGAAGAGAAGGGCGAAAATGTAAATAAATAGATAAGGTTACGTTACAGATGAATTCAAAACATAAAACTATACACCATCATTCAATATCCCCAAAGCTTCCTTGAAGTTTGAAAGCGTATTAGATTTTACTACCACATATTGAAGGTCTTTTTCAGTGTGTGCTGAGTTTAAATGATTGCTTAGGTAAATTGTATTGCCGCTGACATTCATGAATATATTTGCCTTTCCATTAAATATTTCTTTCGTGGCTCCTGATCTGAAAAACCTCCATAGGAGGAGTTACATCATGGTGAAAGTTATCCTGTATGGATGGATATGGAAATTGGTTGAATTGTGTTGAGGCAGACAGGGATTGTGACAGTTCAGGTTAGATAGCAGAGGGAAACCTGAGATTGTCAGAATGGGGCATTAGGCCAAAGAGGCTGACATTGGGCTAGAAAACCTAAGAATTAGGAGACTAATTTTGCCATCAGCTGTGTCTTCCAGTGTAAAGGTAAGTCCATTGCCACCTGAATCCCCTTTCCATCTGATGCACCACAGGATCAATGACTGTCCTTAGCTACAGTAGCCTGCACACCTCAAACCTGTGGTTCTAATGTGCAAGCAACCTTCCTGCCCAAACCACAGCTGTATACTGAGAAACAAAGCTATCTGAATTCAATGGGACTTTCATGTAAGTCTGTATAACATTGCAGCTTTCAGTTAAATGAAGTTGTCGCCTACTTAAGGAGAAACAAATGAGTTTTATTTTTTTCTTGATCAACTGTGATGGAAATGTAAAGCAATAGAATAACAGCAGGTGTGTGAAAGTGTCATGCAAAACAGTAATTCCCCGATCATTGGACAGTATGGAATTTATTAGCATAGATGTGCTAATTACAAATGCAATCTTTTCATTTCAGTTTGAAACAGAAGATGTCCAATGTTGTAGTATGTTCATATCTGTAACTAATTTACTTTATTTGCAGTATGGTGCCAAAATTTTATCAGCACGTCCTAACATTGGCTTTTGCTGTCAAAGAATTCAATGAGAATCCCAAAATCTTGTCCAATATCTCACTTGGCTTCCACATCTATGACAGCTATTATGATGCAAGGATGACCTGCCGCACGACTCTAGATCTCCTCTTCAAAATGAGGACATTTGTCCCCAACTACAAATGTGACACCCAGAAAACCCTCATATCCACCATTGGGGGACTTGGCCATGATACCACCTTCCATATGGCAGACACATTAGGTCTCTACAAGATTCCACAGGTAAGAGGTATGAAGGGGTGAATGAGAATTTTTTCTTCCTGCCTCTAAGGGTTGCTTTCATGTTTGGTTCTAGACGGAGTGGACCTATTGGGAAGTATTCTAGCCAGTAGTTTTACTCAGAACAGACTTATCAAAATTAATGCATCTAGGTTAGTCATGATCCTTAATTTAAAATTTAGATCTATACAAGCCTGCATCTTTATCCCATATTCCTTGTAGATTGCTTTTTCTGTTTTATATCTAGGGATGTGAGATTGAACTGCTCACAGCTCAAATCAAAATGTGCAATCAGAAAAAAGAAAGCTTAGAATTTGTGGAATAAAAAGCCAAATGGTACAGAGAGAATGTTTTCCATACGATTTGAGATTATATTCACATTTTCTTTCAGTTTGCATATGGTTCATATCCCTCAGCAGAGAGTGATACAAGTCAGGTTCCTTCTTTTTACCGCATGGTGCCCAATGAAGCCCACCAGTTTCTTGGGATTATCCGCTTGCTTAAGCATTTTGGATGGACATGGATCGGACTCTTTTCACTGAATGACAACAGTGGGGAACATTTCTTGCAGAACCTCGAACCATTGCTTTCTGAAAATGGAATTTGTTCAGCCTTCACACAAAAAATCCCAAAACAAGTCCACTATGATAATGTGGATGAAATGCATGATATAGCCTTGAATATCTATGCACAAATCAGAAATAATAAAGTCACTACATTTATTGTTTATGGAGAATCTCTGGCAATTATAGCACTGAGAATTATTATATTTCTGCCAGATCCTACAAATAAGAAAAACACATCATTTAAAAAGGTATGGATCTTTACAGCACAGACTGATTTCATAACTATGGGTTTTAGTAAGGTTTGGAGTGTCCTGCTCTTCCAGGGTTCCCTTTCCTTCACAATCCACTCACAAAATCTTCCAGCATTCAAGGAATTTCTTCAGAACATAAAGCCTTCCTTGACACAAGGAGATGGTTTCATCAAAGTCTTCTGGGAGCAAGCATTTGACTGTGCATTTCCAAATCTTGATGTGCCAATGGAGTTCAGTGGCATGTGTTCTGGAGAGGAGAGGTTGCAGAGTCTTCCAAGGTCTCTGTTTGAAATGAGCATGACTGGTCACAGCTACAGCATCTATAATGGTGTCTATGCTGTGGCTCATGCCTTGCATAACATTTACTCACCCAGATCCAAGCAGAGAGCATGGACAGCGCCAAGGTTCGTGCCGTGTTGGACTGGAAGAGCCCGCGCAACCGGAAGGAGGTCCAGCGGTTTGTTGGCTTTGCGAACTTCTATCGCAAGTTTATCAAGGGGTTCGCTATGCAAACAGCGGCCATCACAGACACGCTCAGTTCCAAGAAGAAGAAGTTCATCTGGACGGAGCAGGCGGAGCAGTCTTTTCAGGCACTCAAGCGTCTCTTCGCGTCGGAAGAGCAGCTGTTGCATGTCAACCCCAGCAGGCCTATGAGGGTGGAGACGGACGCATCAGACAGAGCCGTGGGAGCAGTCCTGTTGCAGCAAGACCCGCAGGGGGCCTGGAGGCCGGGAGCGTTTTACTCCAGGAAGCTCAGCAAGTCTGAACAGAACTACACCATCTGGGTTGCTTGCCATTCATGCAGCTTTCAAGGCGTGGAGGCACTTCCTGATCGGTGCCAAGCACACGGTGCAGGTCTGCACGGACCACAAGAATCTGGAGCACTGGTGCACGGCGCAGTTCCTGAACCAGAGGCAGATACGTTGGGCTGAATTCTTTGCGAACTTCGACTTCCGAATAGAGTATGTCCCGGGGGACACCAACGTCATGGCGGATGCCCTATCCCGTAAACCACAGTACCTGGAGGAGGCGACGCCAGCGGCTGCCATGCACATCTTCGCACCGACGGTGTGGGCGTGCGCTTCGGCGACAGTTGACCTGGATGCGGTGAGGAGAGCGCTGCAGGAAGACACCTTCGCGCGAGCCAAGATGGCAGAGGCGCAAAGGGGCACGGCGGCGACCGGCGATTTCCAAGTTCGCGATGGATTACTCCTCCGTAAAGGGGCCATCTACGTGCCGGGGGACGATCTTCGCGCCAAGGTACTGCAGCAGCTGCACGACGCACCCACTGCCGGGCACTTTGGCACAGAGAAGACGATAGAATTAGTCGCCAGGGACTTCTGGTGGCCCAGAATGAGAGGGGAGGTCGCGGACTACGTGGCGAGGTGCGACACCTGCCAAAGGGCCAAACCAGTACACAGACCGCCGGCGGGACTGCTGGAACCGCTGCAAACCCCGTTCGAACCGTGGGAGAGAGTGGCCCTGGACTTTGTCATGGATCTGCCCAGCTCGAGGGGCAAGACGGCAGTGCTAGTGGTGGTGGACTTGTTCTCCAAGATGGCACATTTCATTCCGTGTGCGAAGGTGGCCACGGCGGAACAAATCGCCAAACTGTTCATAGATCACGTGTTCAGGGTTCACGGTCTGCCGCGGTCTATACTGTCCGACCGGGGGCGGCAGTTCATCTCGAACTTCTGGCAGAAGCTGATGCGCTTCCTGAACGTCAAGATCAACCTGGCTTCGGCTAGACACCCGCAGACCAACGGGCAAGTGGAGCGGGTCAATGCCATCATGCAGCAGTACCTGAGATGTTATGCGAATCAACAGCCTGCGACGTGGGTGGATTACCTGCCTCTCGCCGAGTTCGCCTACAACAACACGAAGCACGTGTCCACGGGGGTCACGCCGTTCTTCGCCAACAACGGGAGGCACCCCAGAACCTTCCCGGGACTGGAAAGAATGGGGGAGGGGGAGCCGCAGACAGCAGATGCGTTCGCGTCGGAGTTGCAGGAAGTCCACGATCAGCTTCGGCGGCACCTGGAACTGGCTAAACACGCATACAAGGACAAGCGGACAAACACAGGAGGGTTGGCGAAGAGATCCATGTGGGAGACTGGGTCTGGTTAGCAGCCCACGCAGTGCCGGCCAGGTCGTTGGCGAAGAAGAAACTAGGGCATAAACAACTGGGGCCCTACCAAGTCGAAGAGCAGGTCAACCCGGTGGCTTTCAGGCTGGCGCTTCTGGAGGGCTCCAGGATGCATCCGGTGTTCCACAGATCGGTGCTCACTCCCTACAAGGCACCTCACAGGTTTCAGGAACCAGGAACAGCACCGAGTCCGCCCCGAGAGAGACCCGAGCAAGGGGGAGTGGCACAGGAGGAGCACATCAACGAAGTCACAGAGATTTTGGACTCCAGATGGGGGGAAGAGGGGGTAGAATACCTTCTCGCCAAGGAGGGCACCCCGGCCAGTGCCAACAGCTGGGTGCCAGGCTACGCTTTAGACGAACCTCTGCTCAAAGAAGAGTTTCATGCCCTCTTCCCACATAGGCCCATGCCAGCAGACTTTTTCGACGACTGGCTTTTCACGCCCACGCTTTCAGCCAGCACGTTCCAGGGGTTCGACTCGGACGAGGAACCGACACGAGATGCCCGTTCCCCGGAGGGGTCACCCTCGGGATCTGCCTCAGAACCCTCGTATTGGTGGGACGATAGACCAGAGGAGCAGTGGCGCAGAAAGTGGCTGGAGGGTCCAGGACGAGAAACGTCCCCAGAAGGAAACGAGGGAGAGACGGACATGGACGTATTCGGGGACGACCCGGGTTTCGAGCACGGCGGCACAGAGATGGAAGCGGAGGTGACCGTCGTCGACGAGAGCAGGGAGGAAGAACCGGAAGCCTTCAGATGGAGGCCCGCCACGGGAAGCGAACTGTATCCGACATTCGTCCCCCGGACACGGCAGCACCCAGCTCCCGCACTGGAAGGAGGGGAGGGGGAAGAGGGGGCTTCGAGGGGGGATGGATGTCAGGGGTTCAGGAGCAGAGGCAAGGGCAAGGGAGGAAACAGAGAGCGAGGGGGAGGAGGCAGAAGAAAAGATGAGTGATGACGACGACCCGAGATCTCCAAGTCTTTCCAGTGAATCAGAAGATTCACAGAAAGGAGCACCAGTGGCCAGGGCAAGGGGGGAGCCTAGGGGGACACCCCAGGAAGAAAGGGCCAGAGGGGGCTCAGAGGGGAGCAGTGGGAAATCGGGACTAGCGTCACCAACAGAGAGCAGGGGAGAGGAAGGGCGCCAGGTATCAAGCGCTGGCAGCTCACAACAGGAGGGAGGGCACGAGTCAGGAGTGGCCACACCTCCATCGGGGAGCGAAGAAACGGTCAGACGGAAAGTGGAAGGTTGGGCGCGCGCGCCAAGTTCAAATGCACAGGAAGGTGGCGCAGTAAGCAGCCCGGAAAGGGAGCCAGGTCCTAAAGCCCGGCGCAAGGAGACAGGAGGGTCCGGGGGGTCAGCGTCAGAAGAATCCCGGAAGGAAGAGACCCCGGGGGGCAGAGGGACCCAGAGAAGAATGGTCAGGCGGAAAAGGTGGAGTAAGGCTAGGTTAGTAAGCTGGTGCACAGGGGGCGGAGACTCAGACGGAGCTTCGCCGGTCTAACCCTTAAGACGTAGAGCTGCACGCAGCAGCTTGAGAATGGAAACTGTAACTCAATAAAAGACTTTTACAAGTGACCGCTGGCTAGCGTGATCCTCTGTGAGCTAGGATCTGGAAGCAGCTCTGACAGATAGTATTCCAGAAAATTATCAAGAAATTTAATTCAGACTCAGAAACTGCTGCTAAGACTACAATAGCTAAGAATATCTGAATGGTTGGAGAAAATTTGGTCCATGGTAACTATGATTGCACCAACTTATAAAAGAATACATATAAACCAGCCTAACAGTTCTATGGAAAAAAACATAATTTTTTGTTATATTTTGGAAGAAGAAGTTCAGTTATAATGTCCAAGCTTATGCTGCTTTCAACCTGTACTAATAGTATTTATTTAGGCTGCCCTTAATTTCTTTATTTATTGTTAAAAGAAAAAAATAAGGACTTTATCAAATTAGGAATCAGAAGTTCTGTTTAAATGGTATTGGAAAATTGTATTCACTGAAAAAAATTAGTGTTTGCATCTTAAATTGTGTACTTCTTTTTGCCAAATAATATTTTTCTTAGAGTTCTTCACCATACAATAATATAACAGCTACAAAAACTACAGTAAAACAGGAAGGATACCAAGTCCTTTCCTAGAGGCAATTCACAGCTCTCACCTGAGATTCCTCCTATTTCCTCCCTTCCCCTCAGCCAATGCTTCCCTGTCTTCCACCTAGGGCCCACCATGACCACCCCTATGAATAGTTAATCCCTAGGCCTTAACAAGGGCCCCAAATATAGGACCTCACAAGAAAAAAAGAAGAGAAGAGGGAAATGAGAAATCTGTTGTGTCAAAATCACAAATATTTTGCACATATTCTTTGTTAACTGAAGCTATGTTACTATACCTAAATAAGCTTCATGAAGAAATGTTTCTGTAAACCATGACATTTTATTCAAAATCTCATTTATGCCGATTCCCATTCAACTCCATTTTCTCTTTCTATTAGCTACACCCTGTTCTTCATGACATTTCATTTAACAACTCAGCTGGAGAAACCGTGTCCTTTACTGATCAAAGAGAAGTGGGAGGGGGATTTGACATCATGAATATAGTCACGTTCCCAAACAGGTCCTTCCTTCGATTGAAGATTGGATGGGTTGATTCTGATGCAGCTGATGGAAAAGAATTCATCATTAATGAGGACATGATTCTATGGCACAATGATTTTAACCAGGTCTGGAATCTAGGCAGGGGTGCCAACTTGAATAAAATATTGGGGGGCGGGGCGGGGAGGTAAGCCCTGCGCTGATTAATCAGTTGCAAGACGTGGCTCATGCACACCCTTTGAATAACAATGCCCATCACCTCTGGGAGAGGGTAGGCGCCTCAATTATTTTATTGAGGGTGTATGTGAAGGGACCTTGGCTGCTAGAAGTTTGCTCCTATGACTCTATAGTTTACTTGTAGGCCCCACATTCTCCTACTTATGAGCATAGTGATATACTCCTCCACTGAATTCTTGTTTAAGCTGCTTGTACAATGACCCCTTAAGCCTGTGAGGCAGAGTATGGATGATGTTTCAGGTTAACTTGTTTCATTCACTTTGAGTTTGGGGCCTCAAAGGCAGTGTGAGTTTAAAAAAGACTTACCAAATACTGACAGGTTTAGGAGAGTGACAGAAGATTTGAATATCTGTCACATATGGTATTTCCACTATGAAGTTTCCGATTTCTGAAAGTTGGTTAACAAAATGACCCTAGATTTATCTGTATTTTTTCTTTTGCCTCTTTCATTCCAGTGTCTTAACAAAAATGGGCTGATGGTTGGACAATGTACGAAGCAGTAGTCCTATGCCAATGTTTCTGGGATGAGAGATCCCCTTTTTATTTGAACTGCAGAAGCTGAAATAGTCTTTCAAATATTTATCCCTTCTGAAATGATTTCCTGTTTATTAATAGGTAATGCCCATTTCTGTGTGCAATGACTACTGTCATGAGGGCTATCAGAAGAAAAGTAAGGAAGGACAGAAATTTTGCTGCTATGATTGTACTCCATGTCCAGAAGGGAAGATTTCAAACCAGAATGGTATGTGACAGTTTTCATTGTACAAGATTAGCAAATCTCTGTTGAAAACCACACTTTCCTGCTTGGAGTGGTGTGAATATTTTATTGCTACTTTCCAGTAACACGTCATCAATACGTTCAAAAATAAAAGAGCCTGGTGAAATCCCAAGTTGGTGGATCTGAAATTAATCCCCCCCATCCCCAAAAATGATTTCACTGTGCACATAATTTAAGTGAACCCAGTGCTTATTTTCCCAGTGTGCCTTCCCCCTAAACATTTTGTGTATCTAAGTTTGGCCTCAGTGAGGAGCAATATTTCAATATGAGTAGGAAAAGAAGAGTACCCCAAACATTTTTTTAGAAAAAAAGCACTGAGTGAACCGATCAAGTAGTAAAATGGTACAGAAATTGTAGATTTGCAAATAATGTGTGTAGTCAGAATGAAACATGCTAGACATCATCCATGGTGTTATTAGGCCAGAACTTTATTCATTATGCTTCAGGGAAGAGGAAATGTCATGGCACTAATTCCAACCAGCATTTGCTATTTGAATGGCATTCCACTTGATGGTGTAGCTGCTTTTGACATCCTTCAGAGTTGAACAAGGTTGGAGCTTTGTATTTGGCAAGACAAGCATTCAGGATCCCAGGAGGGAACTGTATATGTATGGGGGGGGGAGAGAGAGAGATAGGCAACACTGGGCCTCATCTGACCTTGTTGCATGCCTTGCTCTTATCAATTTATAGACCCTTTACAGTCCACCCTATTGCCTAACAATGGCTACTGGCACTTACTGAAGGAAAGGCAAAAACATCCTCACCTAGAGACAAGTAAATATGGGAGCAAATTATGTTTTCGTTTCTTTTGGTCTCAGTTAACTGTCCTCCCAAAAAACCAAGGTTCCACTCACTATGCCATCTTGGTGAAACAGCATGGCCACTTACAAAGATGTAGAAAACAAAACAAAACTGTTTCAGATTCAGCAGGAATGTAGTGAGTAATTCAAATATACAACCTGCTCTCTGACAATAAAGAAGGTTCCAAATAGATCAACAGAATCAATAACGGCAACATAGTAGACAAAAATCACTGATGAATTGCAAATGGAGTTTGACTTTCTTCTGTTTGTCAGATACGGCTGACTGCTTCAGATGCCCAGAAGATCAGTATGCAAACAAGAAGAAAAATGGATGCATCCCTAAAAGTATCAACTTTCTTTCATATGAAGAACCTTTAGGGATCATTTTGGCCTCACTTTCTCTTTCTTTTTTCCTGATCACAATTTTGGTGCTTGCAGCGTTTATTCAACACAAAGACACTCCAATTGTCAAAGCCAACAACAGGGATCTCACCTACGCTCTCCTCATCGCCCTCCAATTCTGCTTCCTTTCATCTCTTCTATTCATTGGACACCCTGGCAAAATGACCTGCCTTTTTCGCCAAACAACTTTCGGCATTGTCTTCTCTGTGGCTGTTTCCTGTGTGTTGGCCAAAACTATCACGGTAGTTGCAGCTTTCATGGCCACCAAGCCTGGGTCCAGTATGAGGAAGTGGGTAGGGAAAAAACTGTCCAACTTTGTTGTCCTTTCCTGCTCCCTCGTTCAAGCGATTATTTGTCCTGGGTGGTTGATGACCTCTTCCCCATTTCCAGATCAAGACATGCACTCGGTAATGAAAGAAATCATTGTGCAATGTAATGAAGGTTCAGTGACCATGTTTTACTGTGTCCTCGGCTACATGGGCCTCCTGGCCATTGCTAGCTTCATTGTGGCATTTTCAGCTCGCAAATTACCTGACAGCTTTAATGAAGCCAAATTCATTACCTTCAGCATGTTGCTGTTTTGCAGTGTTTGGCTGTCTTTTGTCCCAACATACCTGAGCACCAAAGGGAAATCCATGGTGGTGGTGGAGATCTTCTCCATCTTGTCCTCCAGTGCTGGATTGTTGGTCTGCATCTTTGCCCCTAAATGCTACATCATTGTTCTGAAGCCAGAGCTGAACAACAGGGAGCAAATGATAAGGAGAAGGATGTAAATTAAGCCTTACTTCTTCTTTCTATTCTATTGTATTGTTATATATAAGGGAGTTTTCCATAAAAGTGGTTACTTTGAGGTGATACTCTTTCGTAGGATCAATTTGGAATATTTAGGGTTTTCAAATTCAAGCAGATTAAAATCCGCTGTCACCTTAGCTCAGGAGTGAGGAACAACTTGGTGGTGGGCCCTGTTTTGCCCAGCTTAGGTTTCAATTCTCAGGCCATTCCTGGCAAAGCACACCCACCTTATTCTCAGCTGACATCATGTGGGACTTCATAGGAACTATCAAAAGCAGAAGGTGAGTTCCCAGATTGTCTCTTCCCAGAAGATCCCCCAGGAGGGATGCTTCCAGCCTTCCCAGCCCCTCAATTTAAAAGTCTTATAAGAAGATTCTGCAGTAGAAGGACTTTGAGGAACATCATGAGAGAGATCTTTCTAAGAGCCTGTGAAACTCCTAGGTTATCTTGTTAAGTTGTCTGTTGTTCACGAAACCTTCTTGTATTTATTGGACTCAGATGCAGCTTTTTATTATGTTTTCATATTTGCCATCATATTGTTCTATTATCCTGTTCTGATACTATATTTGTGATGTTTGATTTTAACATGTGTCCATTTATCCTTTGTTTATGGGAATTTACCCACCATTATAAAATCATATCACAGTATGGTTGGAGGAGTCCCTCAGGGTCATCTGTTCCAGCCCTTTAAATGATTGAACCTCAATTAATAATATTAATAATAATAATAATAATAATAATAATAATAATAATAATAATAATAATAATTATTTATTATTTATACCCCGCCCATCTGGCTGAGTTTCCCCAGCCACTCTGGGCAGCTCCCAATCAAGTGTTAAAAACAGTACAGCGATACATGTTAAAAACTTCCCTGAACAGGGCTGCCTTAAGATGTCTTCTGAATGTCAGGTAGTTGTTTATCTCTTTGACAGCTGATGGGAGGGCGTTCCACAGGGTGGGCGGCACTACCAAGAAGGCCCTCTCTCTGGTTCCCTGTAGCCTCACTTCTCGCATTGAGGGAACCGCCAGAAGGCCCTCAGCGCTGGATCTCAGTGTCCAAGCTGAATGATGGGGGTGGAGATGCTCCTTCAGGTATACATGACCGAGGCTGTTTAGGGCTTTAAAGGTCAGCACCAACACTTTGAATTGTGCTCGGAAACATACTGGGAGCCAATGCATCCATGACAGATGACTATTCGACCTCTGCTTAAAAACCTTCAATGAGGGAGAGTACACCACCTTCTGGGGAAGTCTATTCCACTGTTGAACAGCACTTATAATCAGAAAGTTGATCCTGATGTTTAGTTGGAATCTCTTTTCTAATAACTTGCATCCATTGGTTGCGGCTCTACCCTCTCAATGATGATAATGATGATGATGTTGATGATGATGATGGGTAATGGGAGCCCATGGTGCTCCAGGAGGGGGAGATAGTTTCCATTGAAAGTGATAATAAAATGGGTGCAGGGGAGGGGAGCTTGGTTTTTGCTAGAGAAACTGCTTCCACCTCACTTATCAAGCCACTTTGTAACTGTCCATTTAAAAGACTCATTACCTTCTGAATCCCAGTGGCAGACAGGTTGGTTGTCCCATCCACCTATCAAACATTGTCCATCGAGGATTGGGAGAATGATCAATCTGGCCAAATGTGGGGAAATGTTGCTGACTCCTGCTTTAGGGCAAGAAACTTAATAATAAAAACGAACTTTTGTGGATAGAAAAGCAGTAGGGAAAGACATTGAAAAGTGTGGAATGAATGGTAGCTTGATTTACTTTCAATTCACTTATAAAAATGTATTTCTTACATGGGACTGATTTACCTTATATTACTTTGTTTTGTAATACTGAATTTTATGTCTTTCAGTAAAGAAACATGTTAACTGAAATTAAGTATCTGAGTGTCTTCCTTGAACCTTAAATGCTTTGCTTGCTAATATCGAGCAGGAGTATATACTCTCCTCAATGTGGTGGCACTTTCTGGGATAATCTAAGATGGTACTGTAATTGCTGAACTAAAACTTTGATACAATAAAGACATCCTCAATATTTACATTATGTAGGGCAATATATGCCCCACAGATTTAAGAACAGGACAGAACAAATCATATGTTTTAATGGTCCCAGAATAATAATAATAATAATAATAATAATAATAATAATACTTTTATTTATATCCTATCCTCCCCAGCTGAAGCCGGACTCAGGGCAGCTAACATAAAATATATAACACAGGTATAAAATCAAACAGTAATGAAATTGCCTCCTAAAAACAGGTCAGGATCGAATTAAAATCTAATTAGATGGCTTTCCACAGGATTAGAGTTGGGATCAGTAAATACTCATCAGGTCCAACTGTTTTCAACAGGTATCTAAAAGAACAAACTTATTGTGAATGCCTAAAGATATTAGGAGTTCCAAAAGTGTTGCCACATCTTAAAGGGAAATGGCACTTTAAGTTGCCTTTATCTCAAAATTTAGCACTCCTGTTTACCCAATGAAATAACTCTGAATTTCCCGTTGTCATTAGCTTACCAGGAAAAAGTCTTTCGGTCACTGTAGTTCATTGATTTCATTCATTAGCAAATTCTCCTCTGAAACTGCAAATTGATGAACTTCATTTGCAGTATGGTGACAAAATTCTACCAGCACAGACTCGCCTTGGCAATGAGAACCACATGATCTTACCCAATATCACTCGAGGGTTAGATATCTATGATGTATTATTATTAACATCAATAATAACCCCAACAACAACAACAACTATTAGCTATGCCTCCCCTGCTCTGCTTCATATTTTCAGTGCTTTTGCTTACCCAGAATATGACCTTGAATTCTGATAATGTCTCGTGATGCTCTGAATAGGGAACAGAGCAACGTGAATGTGTCGGACAGTATAAAGTAGACATGAAACCCTGTTAAAATTTAGACTAGGTGTTCTGTGCTCTTCCCTTTCTGTTCCCACTCACCTAAGGCTTAAAGTTTATGTAAGGTTACCCAGAAGAGAATTCATTAGTCAGGCTGAAAATGAAAGCCTCCCCCCCCCCCAATATACCAGTAGCTCCTGTTGGTTCTTGCAAATGAATTGTGCTATTCATTTTTAAAGTATAGCTTGATCTTATTGAGAAGTGCTGAGCCCCATTTTCTTGAAGACAACTGGAGTTGAGAAGTGGTCTTAATCTCAAAATTTAGAACTGCTACTTTATATCCTGATGACAATGTCTTCACTCAAGAGTTTTCTGTTGTTCTTAGCACACCAAGGAAAAACCCTTCTGCCACTTTTTTCTTTCATCTAAGCAGCAGGATTGGGAGTAAAAAAAAGTAAAAGTCTTACTCAGACTCTAAACTCTGAATAAGTAATTAATATTCCTTTTCTGCAATTACTCAAATCACTGCAATTTCTTCTCAAGGTCAAATCCCCAGTTGGCTTCCTGGAGGGAAGATAAAAATCAACAAGCAAGTCTAAAAGTGTTTTTTAAAAAAGCTCATATGTTATGGAGAGCCAGTGTAGGGGGAGAGACAGACAGGGCTCTATGAGTTCAATTTAGGAAAATATAATTTCTGTTACTTCTCAAGGACTGTATTTGCAACCCGTTGATGAAATGTTTATCATAAGCTAGGCTTTCAGGATGTTGCTGCTATTGGTGTTGCTTTTTCTGATAACTCCTGTTTCTATGACCTCTAATTCTATCCACTGCCCTAGGAATAATCCTTTTCCTGTTCCACACGAGTGGTACCAGCCAGGTGAATTCATCATTGGTGGAGTTCTTTCTCAGAGCTTTTACAATTTCTATGAAATTTTGTATAAGGATCACCCATCAAAGAACCTGTTTGATGTTTCATAGTAAGACTTTTTCATTCCCCCTCTGGATTGCCCTTTCCTTTCTTTCATGCCTTTCAGACAGGAATCCTAAAGGGAGGGCCTGTTTTATCACTGACATTTTCAAGCTGCAGTGGGAGCCATAATTTGCCTGAATATTTGAATAAAAAAACCTTCTTTCTGTATTTTATTAAAAAAGAATCTAGCCATTGTCACAGTTTATTTGAATGAGATGGTGTATTTGCAATTGCTCTGCAGTATACTTATTGTGAGGAGTGGGGAAGAGAAGAGTGAAAATGTAAATAAATAGTTAAGGTTACATTACAGCTAAAGGTAGGTAGCCGTGTTGGTCTGACGCAGTTTGTTCTTGGTATAAGCTTTCATGTGCATGCTAGTATCTGAAGAAGTGTGCATGCACACAAAAGCTTATACCAAGAACAAACTGAGTCAGTCTCCAAGGTGATACTGGACATTTTTTTATTTTCTCTCTATATATTGATTACAGATATATTCAAAGAATAAAATTATACACCATTCTTCATTCTCCCAAAGCTTCCTTGCCTTTTGAAGGCATATAATATTTTACTACCTCATATTCAAGATCCTTTACAGACTTGAATTTCTTAGGTTGCCGCTGACATTCATGAGGGTATTTGTCTTTCCATTATATATTTATTTTGTGGCTCCTGATCTGGGGGGGGGGGACGGGACTCCATGAGTGGAGTTAGATCATGGTGAAACTCCCTGGGCCAAAATGTAAGTTCAGAAAGTTATGGAGGGATATGGAAATTGGTTGAAATTTGTTGAGGCAGACAGGGACTGCTACAGTTCACGTTAGATAGCACAGAGAAACCTGATATTGTCAGAATGGGGCATTATCCCAGAAAGAGAGGCTGACATTGGGCTAGAAAACCTAAAGAAATAGGAGACAAATTTTGCCATCAGCTATGTATTCTGGTGTGAAGGTAAAACCAGTGACATCTGACTCCCCTTTGTGCAACATCAATGACTGTCCTTAGCTACAGTAGCATGCACACCTGAAACCTGTAGTTCTAATTTGCAAGAAACTTTCCTGACTCTACCGCAAATGTATGCAGTGGTACCTTGGGTTACATATGCTTCGGGTTACATACGCTTCTGGTTACAGACTCCACTAACCCA